TTTTGAATGCAATTTTTTTCGGTTTCTTAGTCTATTTTTATCAACTTTTTTTTCTAACTACACTTCACATATTACTCTCGATTTTTAATATACGTATTAAAATTCACTATCACATTTAGCGCAGTAATAATTTTTTTTTAAACTGTTTCACTACTTTCGTATTTTACATTCGCACGCGCTATCATAATTTTTATTTTTTTCTGTTTTTGAATTTTTTTTTTTTTAATAAAAGTCAACCACAGCCTTCAACTACACCCACTTATAACCAGACACGCATTTGTGACCGCAAACACTTCATTGATTGATGAAATTGGGCTGTGCGTTCGAGTGTACGCGCCTAAAAGCAGACTCCAATGCAAAAGAAAAACACAACGCAACGAACTGTTTGTTGGCCGACGGCTAGCCTTTGCAATGACAATTGCAGCAACCACAAACAGCGAATGACTACGAAATGTATTTCATTCACAAAATTCACTGACGCCTACGATTTGCCCAGCGCACACGCGTTTCACTCGTTTATTATTATTATTATTTTTTTTTTTGCTGTCACCCAGCTAGGTGACTTCGAACATTAGTGAACTTTTTGCTTTAGCGGCTTTAGCGTTGGCGTTGACCAGCGAACAACGAGCAGCGTAGCAGACTTTTATTTGGCACGCATGCGAGAAACAAATCAACATTTACCGTTTTTCCGTCCGAAATACACTCGAATTGTTGCAGCACGTGACTGACTGTGCGGCCTGTAACGCCTTTCGTTTTTATATTAACTCAAGTAACTCAGGATTTGCGTGAGTTGCAGTGTTGCATTTTTATTGTGATTTTTAATTTTTGCTGTTATTGAATTTGCATTACGCTCTGCAAAATACGAGCGACTTTTCCCATTTTCGCAGCTGCAAAGCTGATGATTTTTCTGCACTTCACTGACAGGTGATACTCAGCTGTGAGCGAATATTCTCTCTTGTAGTATTTTGCGCGCGTGCTCTCCCTCTCTCCTCCACTCAGCCAGAGCTATCTTTCTCTGTTTTGGGCGCTTATGCTTACACTTTCGCTTGACTACGCCACACTTCACTTCACTGCGCTATCTGGCTGGCTACCAAGCGATTTTGACACTCCACTTTGACACTTCTTCTTCCTGCTGTTTCACCTACACTTTCCGAATATAAGACTTAAAAACTACTTTTTGTCCTTTGCAGAAACATTTCTTTCACAACTTTCTAAGCAGAGTTTTTTTGGATTTTTTTTTATAATAAAACTTGTGCGTTTGCTATTCAATAGAATTTCTTTTTAGTCCATTTGTTTTCTACGCACTGACTCATGCTCTATTTTGCACACTTTCTCTTTACATTTTCTCTCACGATTTTTTGGTGGGGCCTTGTAAAGTTGTATATTTATAAACGCCATACAAAAATTGCGGTGTGTGGTGTGCGGAGGAGGATTGGCTGGCATACCGATTTATTTTTATCCGTTCACTTTAGGACACATGCACTTCTCGACAATTCGCCTTTGACTTTCCTTCCCTATCCACTACACGCATATATCCTGCAATAAACAATCATTCAAAGTCTTATCAATTAACTGGGTTTGCAGTCTAACTGTTTGGCTTCTACTAACCACTACTATCAAATCATTTGCTATTACTTCTGCTCCTTAAAGTAGGCAATTTTTTTATACAATCTTCGCTTTCAGCGCCCAAAAGCCCGTTTCACTTCCGAGTAGCAGTCAATTTTATGTTCTCAACATTTTTATTGCGCCCAACCTTCACCTTTCACATGTCCCTTCTTCTAATCGCACTTCGTTGCACGCTTTCTCCTCCACACCCTTCCGTCTTTTGTTAAAAGTATAAATATTTAGTCGCGTGTTTTTTCTTCGATAAATCGCTACCGTGATTGCCGCCGCATCTGTCTGCCTTTTTTTTTTTGTCTTCTGCACCTCTTACCCACAGCAGCTTTTCCTTTTTTTGTTTGTGACAACTACACTATAAAATGTTTCTTTAGCTGCTTCACTTTGCTGCTACAACTGCAGTAACGACCTCGCGCTCAATCGCTTGCCACTTGACTGACATTTGCGGGAGTTATATGTGACAGTTAGAGCAGCGTTAAGTAAGTGAAAGAGACTCCATGGCACCGTGGCACATACATAAGTTGTAGGGTGAGTAGGTCACATGCGCATTGCGACAGACGAACGAGTTACTCAGCTCAGCTGTGAAGTTTAGAAATGTCAGCGTGACAGCTGTTTACTGGCGCGCACACATGCAGCCAAATATGCATACGTAAATACATACAAACACTTTCACTAGCCAGCGCAACACAAGCACACAAACAAGTCTGCTAAACTGTGCAGCCTTTGCTCCTTTTGCTACGTTACAGTGCTAGTGGCGGCTATTGTTGTTGGCGTTGGCATTAAGTAGGTCAATGTCAATTTTGTTGGCCTGAACCTCTCGGCGACCGTAATTTTCCGCTCTACAAGCTCAGCAGCTTTTAGTAAACTTTTCATAAAAGCTCCCAGCTCTGTTGTGTGCACGTTGCACCTGTTGCTCGCTCTATTGCTCAGATAGAGCTTTTACTCTGTACGCGTCCATATAAAATCTGCAGAGAGCTTTGAAGATTTCCGCCCACGGGCGCTGTTTTGAGCATCACTGCTGCATTGGGAAATGCTAGAATGCTTTTAAAGCTGTTATGGACACTGTCTTGTCTGCAAGCAAAGCTCTTTTAAGCTTTCTATACACTTTGTTTAGGCGCTAGCAGAGTAAAAGCTCTATCTGCCCATCACTGTTATAGAGAAAAATTAATTCTTAGGAAATGTTATCAAGTTATGTAGCTTATGAAGGTTATTTTCTTCTTTATAGCGCGTATGTTAAGAAACAGGTTTTTAAGTGTGTCCTATGAAAGCTTTTATAAAATAAAATTTTCGGTAAAAAACTCGGATAGAGAAACGTGGAGGTCGTCTAAATTGCTGACCTAAATAATAGCTTTTAGTACGCTTTTATGCTTTTGGAAGCTCTTTTAACTGTTATTTCAATTTCCAACTTTGTGTATTATAAAATATTTTATTAACCTTAATATGCATGTATGTATTCAATTATTAAAAGCACGATTTGAACAAACAAAAATTTAATATACTTTACTTCGCCCCAGCGATCTCGCAATTGTTAATAATGTTTAAAACCACTTTGTAGAGTACAGGATATATTTCTGAATCGCCGGACCTTCAATACATGGAATAAATAATTTTATTTGATCGCTTTATAGCTGGAAAACTAACTAAGCTAGCGATTTTGGCTATTTCCTTAATTTAATGGTTACACTGGATCACAATTCTTTTTTATTCACCGAATGCCAATATCCAATTCCTGTCAAGAATTATCCGAATATCAAGTTTTTTTTCTGTGCATACGTTTTCGAGATATTTACAATTTACGTTTATTCAGCTTTAAAAAAATTTGTTCCACTTTATCACGCATATCTCATGATCCGATTGCACAATCGTAATACGAGATGCAGTAAATGAAAGCTAACGAGATTGTCCCTAAACCGTATATACATTACTTTTCGATGGACTAGATAATTTCTGAGAAATTGATTACCTATTCGTTTTTTTTTTTGTATGAAAATATGAAAAGAAATCAAATTTTTATACCACAAAAATTTAAAAAATAACAGATTATGTGTAAATTTTTCGCATTAAATCCTGATCTGTTGCAAAAAAAATAACTCAAGTTACCAATGAAGAAAATCGAAAGATAAATAAGGAAGTAATGAGTGGTCAAATGAAAATGCGCAAAGATTTTTTGTATGAAAAATGATCAGAAAAGAATGTTACGTATACGCCATGTACACCTGAGTAACACTCTTTTCTAGTGTTGGGAAGTATCGAGTACTTTTGAGGTCGAGTTCTTTGGTATCGATACTTTTAAGGATCGGGTATTTTTCAGAGTACTAAATATACACTTGTTGGTATCATTTCAATGATTAGTGTAGAAATTTTGCAAGCTTGCAGCACTTTATTCAAATTAATATATTAATTCCAAATTACGTCAAATGAATGGCTACTAAAAAAAAGACCGGTAAATGTAATTAAAACTCAGCACTTTTTAGTATCTATTCAGTACTTTTAAGAATCCTGAGTAAATGTATAAAAGAGATGATTGGAACCGAGAATTTTTGAGTACTGAGTACTTTCGAGTACTTTTGTGAGTACTGAGTACTTTTGAGTTCTTTTAGGTTCGGAGTACTTTCGAGTTCTTTCGTGAGTACTGAGTACTTTGGAGTTTTCAGTATCGATACTTTTAAAAATCGGGTGCTGCCGATTCTTTTGAGAATCGAGTTCTGAGTGCTTTTGGCATCGATACTGCCCAATACTAATTTTTATCAAAAATTCTCTTTGATTTGGGTTAGTTTGATATTTTGCTAAGAATCTGCTTAATTGCTTTTTCAGAATTCGTGATAACTTTAAGCAGAGGACAAAGAATTCAAAAAATAAGAAGTACCACCTACAGATTCTTGAGACACTCAGCAGACACCAACATTTTGATTCGCGGTGTCTTCATTGCAAAACCATAGTAGATTAATAACCATGTAAAACTCTGAACTAATGTCTTTCGGGATGACGTCTAAAATATTTGCGAGCTTCATAAAAGCATGATCAAAGTGAAACGCACATAGGTTCAACGATTGCAAGAACTTGAGCATGTTACGGACATGAAGATGCCTCCTTGAAAAGATCATTCGACCATGGCGCCCAACGAAAGAAACATGGATTGAATCGATTTTTTAGCAAAATAGTGTAATTCTAAATTTTGCGAAGGCGCCAAATGTTATTTTCTGAAAATTCGTGTACTAAGTCTTTAAATTATAAATAATATAAATGTTGCAAATTTAATTGTTTAAAGTTCGTATAAGTCTTCTTTTCGCACAATAAATCTTGGAATACCAATATGCAATATTTCTTCAAAACGACTTTGCTTGTATTTAGTAATTCAAGTAGATAAGTACTGCTGCACTCACCTGCGCTTTAATGGCGGCAAAATGTAATTGCTTAGCTCGCAAATCAAACTTTTTCAAAGACAAGTCCTCCTGTAGCTCGTTGACCTTGTTGTAGAGTTGACCCTCGATGCCACGTTGCTGCGTGCGATTCAAACCATCCACGGTATCCTAAGTGAAGCAAATTTTTTAATATCATATTCATTTTTTTTTATAATATTTACCTGTAATAAACGTATTTGCATTTCCAAATCATTCGCCTCTCGCTTCAGTGATTCCAGTGCTGGTCGCAGTGCTAATGTTGAATGACGATCGAAGACCAGCTCGTTGCGCAAAATGGGAGCCATCTCCTATGCAATGGATTTAAAGATAATTAAATTTAGTTTTTTTCATTAGCTAAAAATAAAGTAACACCAAATGTGATCGAGATGCAGGTAGGCTCACTAATGAGGGGGTGAATATTTTATTCAGTTTATATGAGACATTCTTTTTCATATCGGACAACAATTTGGTGTCACACTTTCGATTGGCTTCAAATTTTTTGTATGGGTTCTATACATGAAATAAGCTAACACCTATTCGAGGATTTTTTTTTATTTTTTTTCTTCGTAGATATGATCTGTCAAAGTTTGCATTTTTTCGTTAACGTTAATTCAAATCGTTATATATCGGCATCTGCGCATCTTAGGGACTTCAGCTTAACGTCGTTTTAAAGCTAACTTAGCTATTAACTTAGTTGAACTTTTTGAAGATGATTTGCATAGTGAAGATCAGTGAATTAGGGATTTAAAATTATACCATCGTATTCCTTCTTTAATTCTCTATAAAAAAAACATGTTTTGAAAAGTTTGACGTTTTTCAAGAAATATTTTTAAAATTATTTTATTTTTTGTGACAATTTTGTCACTGATTGTGACGAACTGATTTAAATCGCATACAGATTTCATTCATTTACAACCCTGCATCCGCATCACGGGATCACATAGATTTAAAAACTGTCAAACTTGTATTGGAAAATTCACACAGATCGCAAAGCTTGTATTGTCGATGTTTATATGTGGAGGGCTTTGGATTTCTAGAAGTCTTAATTTCTGTAACTACGAAACGGCGAAAAATATGCGACACAACGTAAATAAAAAACCTTATTTCCTTCAATTTATTATTTGTTGTATAGTTTGTCATTCGGTCCGACTGTACTGGTTTAACTCGATGACTTGACTTGATTGAGTTGTTATCAGTGCAAGCCTCATCAATATCGGCACAAGAAACAAATAGAAAGAGACACATGGAAGGTAGCCGAAATTTAATATTTCTAATGCTTATTTAGTTGCCTTCCGGAATTTAAGTTTGCTTCCCACATAATTTTCTGAAAATATTACCAAGTAACGGGCTCATCCATGGGAAAGTAAATCGAATATAGGTCTTTTCGTCTGGTATATGTTTGCCTAGCCAATATAGACTAAGGTGGCCGCCTTAGTTGAAACTCTTCTGCAAGGAATTGGAATGTGACCAATAGCAAGACAAACCTTAAGGAATCTCATCAAATCCACTATGAGCCTCCATGCTGTAGCGTATTCGAATGTACGTCGTATAGACCTAGTGACTTAAAGCACGTTCCTATACCTTCCTTCTGTTATTAACTAAATACTAAATTTATTTTCGATAACACACTTGAGTAATTGTAATTTATTTAAATGGGTGAGAGGTTTCATAAAAAAAATAAATATTTCTAAAACATATTTCTTAACGTTTTTACTTGTTTTCAAGTTTCTTGAAACTCAATTTAAAATATTTTTTTACAGTATTGATGGGCCCCATCAAGATCACATATGATATCTCGATATGATTATACATTTTACTTAGCACTTACATTGAAATCCCCCGTATCGTCGACCTCGCCCGGTGGTTGTGGCGGTGCAAAAATGCGCTTAGGAACTTTTTGCGCCTGCGATGGCAGCGGCAGAATGCGTACGAAATTTGTGAGGTCCTGCGCCGCTGACACTGAGCTGCATTGTATAGTGAGTGAGCTATAACGCTTCGCTTGCACTGTAGCCTGCGAAATGAATTGTGGTAGACAATAATGAGTATAAATGGACAAAGACAATTTAAAAAAAAAAAACGCTTAGAATTTGATATGAACTAATTGAATTAAAAAAAATGTTTTTGTTTTAAAACTAATAACTAATTTCGAATAAACTCATTCTATATATACACACATACATATATGCATTGGTATAAATATAACTGTACACGTGGCCATTGTAATGGAAGAAATGATTAAAATTAAACAAATATTGACATCGATTCCATATGGCTATACATGGTCTCTGCGAATTTTTAATTTTTGTTAAAACAACCACAATATTCGTATATTGTGGCACTCATCCTACATTGCTTAACCCATATGCGAAACCCCAGGTACAGTTATACCTATGCCCACCTTTAAACGTTAAAAATTTATTTTATAATTCTAGTAGAGGGGTAAGGCTTCCTCAAGTGGGCCCCGAATTTACCAGCATTAATATTTTTCAATAATATTCCGGCAGCGCTGAGTTTTGTAGTCGAAAAGTACACTGTGAAAATTTTGTTGCACAATTCGAAATAGTTTTTTTTTTTTTAACAACAATTGAAAATTTGTGCAGTGTTTTGGAAGTTTTTATTTTTGATATTTTGTTGATTAAAAAAAAAACTATTTGGAATTTTGCAACAAAATTTACACAGTGTACTTTCCGACTACAAAATTCGGCGCTGCCTGAATATCACTGAAAAATATTAATGCTGGTAAATTCGGGGCCCACTTGAGGAAGCCTTGCCCAGAGCTTTAATTTTATTTTACCCTAAAACTAAGTTTTCTAAATCCATTTTGGTTAGTGCCACGTTCTTAAGATTTTGAAAAGGTAGACTTTTGTTAAGATTTTTAAGGTTATATCCTAGATCATATATGTATACAAATATACCTAAGAAAATTGTATACATAAACTGTGGGAAAACCCATAGGATTTGTATTCATACAAACGCGCACACACACACACAATAAAACCCGCACATCTCTCAACAAAAATGAGGAAATATCTCAAAGAAAATTAATTTGCAAATAAATTCATACAAATGTCCACAAGTACACCGTACAAGGGTTAAATGTTTATAATTTTTTTATAATTGCTTACTCATGGTTAACCGCACATTGTACGCGCGCATAATTTGTTTAAGCCACCTTTCTTGTGCCAACTGTGGCCAAACTTTTACACACACACAAGCAAAAACATTTGCAATAACTATTAATTAATTTACATGTCCGTTTGCTGTATTTCCATGAATTCGTTTATAAACATTTTTTTTTTTATTCGGAGATATTTATGTGTATGTATGTATGTATATATTCATCATGGTTATACGTTTGCTGTTTATTTATGTCCATTGTATGTATGTATAGGTAACAATCAACATAAACTGTGGAATACCAAATGAATGCGAAAATGTATTTTCAATGCAAATGTATCGATTGCACAGAAATAAACAAAAGAAACAATGTAAATGCAGTTAATTACTTAATAAAGTGGTTGAATACGTTGTGTCAGTTATTGTTGTATGCAATTTTACGGCACAGGCAAATAAGCCAAGCCGTCCATTTCGGATGAATGCATGGAGAATATTTAAGTAAATTACGGGCTGTTAAATCACTGCATTGCACTGATAGAATTTAAGAAATTTGCAAGTAAAAATTCGAAATGCAAAAATGGACTGGGTATTGTCGTACTGGCTCATAACCACTCTAAAAGAGAGACTGTTATGACTTTTCTAATAAAAATCATAGCTTAACAGTTAAAACTGCATTTATAGTGTTCTGATCAAAGTTATACGTCATTTTGTGATTTTAATTTTTTGGATCAAAAATAATCATTACTATTGGATTTTTATTTTTTCGGTCATATTGCAACCGTTATACATATTCAGATTTAATTTTTTGAATCCTAAAAGCTTTCAAACCAGAATAACGAATATTTGTTATCAAAAAAAATAAAAAATCCGACTTTTACTTAATTACTCCTTAAATAACTCTTTAAATAAATGTTTTTTCTAATTTTTATTTCATAAATCCAAAATAACAATTATTTTTGATGAATTTTTCAATGAGAGTTTTCTTTAATAACTGTTATGTTCGGTCCCTGTTCCAAATAAAATTCAAAAAAGCAAAATAATTTTCCACTTAAATTGGCTGTAAAAGTTTGTCTTCAGTTTGTGTCCATTAAAGGTCGTGCCCTTGACGTATCTCCTACTATCAGGTTATATGTAAATTCTCAAAAATTTTAAATCAATTTTTATTGCACAAACAATTTACATACACATTTTAAATATTTATTATTTGATACCACTATGAATATTATATGTTCAGTCAAAAAAATTTACGTCGAATTGGTAAATGAAAAAAGTGTGAACACAATTTTTAAAAGGTCACCATTTCATGTCCAACAGAATGACAGACAAGTTTTAGTCATAGCTACATTCTAACAAATTTAAATTTTTGAACATGCAAGAATTTTGTTGCAAATAAATCTATTATTGCCAATAAAAAAAAATGCCCTTAAGGAGAATAAAGCAGTTATTTCTCGTATCCAAGTCAAGCTGTTCCATTCAACGGAAGAACAAATTAAACAGGCCTTTACTGATAACATTTCAAAATGTTAAATGCTCACAGAGGATGCATAATTTCCATGCCAGATAAATTGCTCATACATTTTTAACCTAAAAAAAAAAAAAAAATAAATAAAAACTCGCTACATGCATATATGAATTTTGTGCACTCTCTTTCGGTGGCGCGTCCATTCGTGACTGCCACCTACAAATCGCAAACGAATGTCATAAATTGTTTTCCCTAAAGCAATTCATTCCGTTGATCCAATGCACTATTTATTCGCCTCGTGAAGAAATATATGTATGTATGAACATATGCATGTTCGCATTTAACACTTTTCGGCCTCTGTGAGCATGAGCCATTCACACAGACACGCCGACGGATACACCACACACTCACTCACTCACTCACTTAAATACTATTTATGCGTGCAGCCTACTTACCTTATTCGCAATAACATCGGCACCCTGTAGTATCGATTCGGCGATAATACTGCATAAATCATTGTGTATCTCCTCCAGTTCTTGCATCAATTGCGGCACCGTCTCACAATGGTATGTCTCCAGCATGGCATTGGTGGCATGCAACTGTTGCACGTACGCATTGTGGGCATCAATGTATTCGGTGAGTGAAAGTTGCGTGGGATTTTGACGATGCGATATGTAGCATTGTTTATAATCCAAACGACACTGCAATGAAACAATAACAAATAAAAGCGATTAAATAATGGCGGCGAAGGCAAAGAGTGTAAATATGTATGTATGTGCGCGCATAACTATTGTGTGAAGTCATCATCATTTGTTGAAGAACGATTAGCACTTTTGATTGCTGCAGCTTGGCGCAATTGTTTAGGGTAAATTTCATTGATACATAAATGGTTAGCGAAATAGTTTGTAGAACGTGCAATATCGCAATTTCTTTAGATTGGAGTGATATTTGAATATTTACTTGTACTCTTGCGGAGTACTTAATTCCAATGTTTAGTACATTCATGTTTTCTTCTTCCGCTTATTTGGTGCTCTTACCGCCTAAGCGATTTTTATCGAGTTCAACAAAGCACGTCAGTCGTTTCTCTTCTTTGCCAACTGACGCCAATTTAAAATTCCAAGTGAAGCCAAGTTCTTCTCCTTTAGGGGGGCCTCCCTCTTCCTATGTTTCGAGTTGATCCTATTCTAGCGGGTCTTTTCCAAGATTTGGCGTATTGTGAATACCTGATCTATGGTGGCTTTTTCCGGCCTAAAGCCACACTGATAAGGTCCAATCGGCTCGTTGACGGTGGGCTTCAGTCTTTCGCACAATACACTCGATAAGACCTTACAACCTATTTTTAGAAGGCTGATTCCCCGGTAGTTGGCGCGTATGGCGGGGTCGCCTTTCTTGTAGATTGGGCAGAGTACACTTAAATTCCAGTCGTCGGGCATGCGTTCATCTGACCATATTCTGCATACGAGCTGGTGCATGCACCTCATCAGCTCCTCGCCGCCGTACTTGAATAGCTCGGCTGGCAGGCCGTCAGCTCCAGCGGCTTTGTTGTTTTTCAGCCGCGTAATCGCTATTCGTACCTCGTCATAGTCAGGCGGTGGGACAGCTACTCCATCGTCATCGACTGGGGACTCGGGTTCGTCTTCTTCACTACTTTCAGCGCTGCTACCATTCAGTAGGTTGTAAAAGTGTTCCCTCCACAATTTAAGTATATTCTGGACATCGGACACTGGGTCACAATTGTTGTTCTTACAGGAGTTCGCCCCGATCTTGAAACCTTCCGTAAGTCGCCTAACTCTCTGGTAGAATTTTCGGGCGTTCTTCCTGTCGGCTAGCATCTCAAGCTCTTCTCACTCACGTATTTCGGCCTCTCTCTTCTTATTGCGGTAAATACGTCTCGCTTCCTTCTTTAGTTCCCTATAACGGTCCCACATGGCTCGCGTTGCGCCCGATCCCAGTGTGGGCCTATAAGCGGCGTATTTTTTCTCTGCGGCTTCTTGACATTCCTCATCGAACCAGTTGTTCTTTCGGGCTCGCTGAAATCCAACTACTTCTTCGGCGGCGATACTTAATGATCGGGGAATGTGGTTACACTGCCCGCGTATGTCGAATTGTTGAAGAGTGCTCTCAGAGAGCAGGTGTGTGAGTTGAGTGGCGAATAAATTGACCGTCTGTTGTGATTGCAGCTTTTCGACATTAAGCTTTCCTTGCATATTTGGGCGCACATTTTTTGCTGCATAGAGGCGGGTGCGTATCTTGGCTGCAACAAGATAGTGGTCCGAGTCGATGTTTGGGCCTCGGAGTATGCGTACGTCTAAAACACTGGAAGCGTGCCTTCCGTCTATCACAACATGGTCGATTTGGTTTCTCGTTTTCGATCTGGAGACAGCCATGTAACTTGGTGGATGTTCTTATGTTGAAACCTTGTACTACATATTACCATGTTTCGGGCCTCGGCAAAATCGATCAGCCTCAGTCCGTTATTGGACGTTTCGTCGTGGAGGCTGAATTTTCCGACAGTGGCGCCAAAGATCCCTTCCTTGCCCACCTTGTCATTAAAATCGCCAAGCACGATTTTGACATCGTGTCGGGGGCAGCGCTCATATGTACGCTTCAAGCGCTCATAGAAGAGATCCTTGGACGCCTCATCCTTCTCTTCCGTCGGGGCATGGGCGCAGATGAGCGAGATGTTGAAGAATCTAGCTTTGATGCGGATTGTGGCTAGACGTTCGTCCACCGGGGTGAACGCCAGTACTCGGCGACGGAGTCTCTCTCCTATCACGAATTTTCGCTCCTTTACGTGGCAACTGTAGTAGACGTCGCAAGGCTTCACGCTTACTTTTCCTTGCCCCGTCCATCGCATTTCTTGGATGGCGATGATGTCAGCCTTTGTCTTCCCGAGGACATCAACCAGCCGGGCAGAGGCGCCTTTCCCATTAAGGGTCCGGATATTCCAGGTGCATACCCTTAAATCATAGTCCTTTATACGTTTGCCGGGGTCGTCATCAAAAAAGGGGGTCTCATACGAGGCTGTTTGTTCTTTTTCATTGGGCGGGGTTTTAACGTGGCGTTTGCGATGTTCTACGCCTTCTCACTTTAGCTCGCTGCCAAACGGGTGTTTGGTTGCTACCCAGAGGATACATGGATACAAATATCCGGACGTTGTGAGCTGCGATTTGAACCGTACGCACAAGACTTTCTTCTGGCCACTCCCAGGTGATGGCAGTCAAAAGTTTTCCACTTCTACGCACGGAACCATCCTCCACACATTCTTATCAGGCACTGCGTAGCAAAGCGCACATTTGCCAGTTATTTTATGTTGTATATCGTACTTATGTGTATCTACAGCATTATGCTCACAAATCCTTTCACAGCTCTACTTGGCACTAAAGTAAATATTCTAGCAAGTGTTAACCAAATTATTTCCAAAATTAGGATTATGACGCTAAATGCGTTCAAGTGTCACGAGTGAAGAAATAATCAAATAAAGTAATACAACACTCGCTTGCTTGAGTACCCGAGTAAAATTTATGTCAATGGCGGTACCATCCTCCTGCTCTCCTGTTGATAAATTGTGGCATCTCGGAAATTCGCGACTGCAGCAAATGCGTCGTAAGCCATCCTAAGCTGCACTAATGCGAACACTCAACGAGTACAGGAATAAGTATTTTTGTACTTAAATATGTACATATGTAAACGTGTGCTTTATACCTGGCTAGCCGTAAATACATGATAAATACTGCCGCGCATTCGTATATACATACATATATATGAAAGGATAAAGCTACTCACACATATGCACGTCATGCTAAATAGTAGTACCATTATATATCTCACCTGTGAAAGATGCATACTTCAAATGGGATTCTAGTTTTCCTCATTCTTTTATACTTTATTTTACGAGAACGTTCTCTTATTTTCCCTTTTTTTATTTTTCACTGTTTGCTGTTTTCTTTTGGCCGCAAGTCGTATCATCTTTTATTTAACTTTTACAATGCAGTTCGGTGCCCGCAGAGTGGATATTTTCAAAGAAAGGAAATGCCCAGCAGCACCACTGTGATACGTGACGAACAAAGGTAGCCATGGCGCACCGTGCAGGTTAACTTCATATAACGGTATTCATACATACAGTGACTCAAACAAGTGACCACGTCTTGATTATTTTTCTTTTTTAAATATTCATAATATTTTTCGAGTTAACTTTTTCTGTTATATTTCTATAAAAAATATTGTCCAAGCTTTACTCAAAACCAAATAAATTACAGTTTCACACTTAATAAAAAATTTTTTTGAATACTCAAACAATGTTTAACAAAATTTCAGCTTTTGAATCTGAATCTTTGGAAAAAACTTTTTTTTTTGGTGACGGATTTTTGTCTTTTTCCATATAAGCATGAATTTCCTATGAAATAAAATGCGGGAGACCATTTGCAACAAAATTTCAAAAAATCGCATAAGTAGTTTCCAAACATAATTCTCTAAAATCAAGGAAACTATTTAGCCGGTTAAAAGTTGCACTTCATCAGACTAGAATTGCATGGGCTATAAAACTGCATACCCAGAAATGTTTTAAAGATTCAGATTAAAAATTTGAAATTTTTATCAAAATTTTTAGAATTTTCATAAATTTTGTATAAGGTTAGAAACTGTTATTAATATGATTTTGGTTGGACAGTATCTATTTTTATAGAGAAAAAAATAAAAAATTTGCTCAAAAAACATTACGCATATTAATAAAATAAAAATTAACACGTGGTACCATGTTTGAGGTACTGTCTGTATGTGCATATTATATATATATATATATATATATATATTTGTATACATTTAAACATGTATCATTGCATACTTTTGTGAAGTCATGAATATTTTAGCGTCGCCTAAGAGCATTGGAACTCTGCATTTTTTACTTCCATTTTCATTGATTTTTTTTGTTCCCATCGGCTTTAGACTTTCTTTCTACTTACAATACATTGTCTATAGCTTTAAATTTTTGAGCTCAACTCTTTATGTCATTAGGTATTGTGATTTTTGTTATTTTATTTTTATTCTCTTTTCGTATTCAGTTTCCTTTGTCACTTACCTTCGACAGCTTCTCTTCAGTCTTTGCGATAATAGTCTCAAAAGACTCCCTGTGTGTGAAAATTTTCCGACTTTGAACTTTACGATGAAAGGATTTATCGAGCATTGGACGTGACACCTGCAATGAAAATGTGAAAAAAAAAATATTGTTAAAAATTAATTAGCTTGCTTTGTAAAAATAAGCAACAGGAAAAAATGTTGTTGTGGCTAAAAACTGATTACTCCCAGCAGTCAGTTATTTTTGCAGCTTCAGAGTAATTATGAATGTTACAAAGCCAAGTTTCTTTTTACAACCTACAAACACTTGTTGCATGCTTAACTGCCGCTGCTGACAGACACAACAACAAATTTCTTCTTTTTTTTAAGCTTTTCGTTTACGCGTAGTAGAAGTTCACGGTTTAGACGATTTCTTGGCCTCTGTTATATTGCGATTGTTTTAGCTTTCAACCACGATTACGAAAGGAAAAGAGAAGCTTCCTCTATGGCGCTTAAATTTAGCAAAACTACTGCGGCTATATAGAGTAACGTTGAGTATAATATTGAGCTCAGTTCAAACTGGGTAGAACCTTTCGACGCCGTTCGAAACCACTCGAGGTTTTAGACAAGGCGATTCACTCAATCAATCTGACGCTGGAAAGCATAATAAGAGCTGTCAATTTAAAGTGCGCTTCTGCTGGGGAATGCGCGCAGTATTTTCCAGTTCACAAAAATAAACGAAAGAAGTTGGTCTAGCTGTAAGAGGGGACAAGCCAAAGTACCTCCTGGAAACACATAAAACGTTTTTCGCGTTTTGGGACACACGTCACTGTTGGCAGCTATAACTTTGAAGTAGTGTAGGATTTTGTCTGACCAGGCAAGGTCTATGGTCCATTTTCACCGGATCACGGCAGCTACGATAGTGATCGTTTGACTGCAAACCCATTCGAGCAGCCAAAAGTGCAACCACATTCAAAAAATTGCAGTGTAGTAAGCTTCTTCCTTAAATTACTCCTAAATTCTATGATCTATGGTTTGCTCCAAAGCAACACTGTTGTTCCAGTATTTCTTCTTTATTTTTTGTATTTAGTTTATTTATAACCGACTTCAAAAAAATTATGAGGCTATTCATTTTTTTTCTGTATGTTACCGCATAACTTTGGGCCACGTAATCCAATTTCGATAGTTTTTCAACGAAAAGGTTGTTCCTCAAAGGTGGTCCCCATACTCTTCTTCTTCTTCTTCCCATACTAATTTCGTTTAAAGCCGATCGTTGGATCATAAAGATCCTAAATTGGTACCAGTTGCGTTTTTTACTTAAAAATTACTTGTTTTATATCCAGTATATACTATATAAGTATATTTTTGTTTTTCGGCCAATATTCCCTTTAAGTTGTTTTACTTTTACATCTTCTACGTAAATCTTCATTTATTTTATTGTTGCAGCTTGCAGCTGTAAGTTCATGTTACTTTTGTTTTCACTACGCCTGCTTAAGCTCTTAAAGCTCAATATGAACTATTTTATAGTAGGAAAATAACGAAGCAACAGGTGATGGGCCTTATTTTATAATTAGCAATAATGTGGAGAAATTTTCAACCGCAATTGAAGCGAACTTTAACTGTCGCTATGTACAGGCAAGTGCCTACATAAACAAGAAAAACAAATATTTACTTGCTCCCCACAAGCGCCGAAGGTATAGAAAGTGCATATATGTATATTAGAGCGGATCGATTTGTGGGGTCCCAAAAAAATTAAATTAGAGGCACATTGCGATTATGAATTTTTGGGTAATTTCAACCGTTTTTGCCCAAGAAACCATAGGTCTAAAATGAATTTCGAGCCAGCGATTTTTTCTATCTAGTTTTTTTTTGCTGAATATTTTAGGCTTTTTAAAAATTGAAATTGCATGATGAAAAAGTCAAATTTCGTGGATTTTCCCAACAATGTTGTCGATTTTCGGAAAAAAGGTGTTAAAATCCAAAAAAAAAGTTCGGAAGGGCTTTCTTGCAGCCCTCAAAAGAAAAAATTAATGCCAGAAATGGATTCCTCGACCCCAAAAACCCCCAGATACACATTTGGGCTAGATTTCAATACAGCTGTTTCAACAGGTGAGTCACTTTTTGAAAAAAAAAACTATATAGAAAAATTGCTGGCTCAAAATTCATTTTAGACCTATGGTTTCTTGGGCAAAAATGCTTGAAATTACCCAAATAACCATAACCGCGATGTGCTTTTGATGCAAAAAATTTGACCCGCCCTAATATATATGTATGTATTTTCACATATATACATATGTAAGTATATATATGTATGTACCCTGCAGTGAAAACCCCAAACTAGTCAGGAAAAATACTAGTTTACAACTAGAATTTCCTGACTGACACCGAACTAGTTCGAAAATACCCAGACATGTACCAAGTACAAAACGATTTATTCATGCCCAGTTTTGTTTGACTTCGTCAGTTTAATACAGTAAAGTACACAAATTATATAAATTTTATTTGGGTATATTGTAAACCAGACTTGTTAAATAACGATTAATAATCATAATGATTACTGATTAAAGCATGTTTTTTTTTAGATAGCCGTTTAATGATTAAATATCAGTATTAGCACCTTAATTAAATAAAAATCTTTAATTAATTCATTCATTTTAATTATATGATTATTTTGTTATTACACGATTAATATAACTATTTGATTAATTTCAATTATCAATCAACAAGCCAAACTATGGACAAAAATTAGGAATATTTAATAACGGCATGAAATATTTATTTATTTTATACTTATCCAAATCTCAAGTTTTAAGCGTTAATTATTACTTTCATTTAATTTTAAGAAGAAAGAACTGAATTGTGCAAAGTTAATGAATTTAATTTAATTTTATGATAACTTTTATTTTTATTTATGTTCACCCGAAAATGAACTAAAGTATTTATTTTATTTTTAACAAAAATATTTTCTTTTGCATATTCAACATTATTAAAAAATACGAAAAATATTGTATTTATTATACCTTAAACCTTTTGCCTTTAAAAACATTTAACAAGAAATGCATTCAAATTTATGTTCGAAAGTTTGAAATATTTATGTATTTATGTATTTAAATAATTTTATTGTATATTCAGGAATTCATTTTATTTTTGACTCCCAAAGTAGTGGTTTCAGTCCATAATTGAACTAGTATTTTTCTGTCTATTTTGAACTAGTATGAGACTGGTATATTTCTGACCAAAATCTGACAATTGCCATCTCGTACGACATCCCCATGTTAAAAATACCAGTTGATTGCATGGAAAAAATATAGTTGGCTGACTAGTCGGGCATGCGGTTCATACAAGTTGTGAGGTAGTTTACAACTAGTACATTTGACTACAGGGTATATACGTGAATGGAAGCGCTTGTGACCACTTTTTCATGCACATAGCTGGCAGCGCTAAAAAATACAGCTAATGTATGTGCACATTGCACAGTTACTTGTTTAGCAAAAACAAATACATGTATACACATACATAAGTACATATGTATGTACAGTGGCGGATGTAGGATTTTACTAAGGGGTGATTTTAGATTTTTAAATTTAAGACCTATCTGATTTCAGGATAGTTTTCAAAAACTATCTAGAAATATCTTTCGGACGTAGGTATAGATTGTTCGCAATCTTAAGACCAAGAATTTGATGGAGCTCCACTGAACACTGTACTCCACATATGTAGTTTTAACTGAGCTAAAAATGCAGCTTTTGATGTAAATAGCTGGCATCAATAATGCGTTGCGGACTATTGCTAAAATAAAATCAAAGAAAAAATTAAATAATGGTACGAAGCAGTATTAACGTACATTGAACTTTAGCCAGAAATCTTCGAAGCTCTTTAAGAGATTACTGTATGAAAAAACGCCAAATCAGCAACACAAACTTCCCAGTAACTGGCCGCAATCGCTACTTTGGAAATTTAAATATCTTGTAAAATAATGCAGTCGGTACACTCCATCATTTTGCCTTCGAATAAATAATTGCAATCATAAACGCAAGATTTTTCCGAGGCTATGGAATTTGCGGAAGATGATGTGCATGAATTTGAAGAGAAGCGACAAAAGCCAGTTTCAAGAAACTTTCGGAAATGTGAGCGAAGTATGCAAAGAGCATCGACATCGATATCAAGAAACCACGCATCAGCAAATGCTATAGAAATAGTTTTTTCTCCCGAATATTAGTACAACTTCGATAAATGTAAGAAACCTTATGAATTTTACTAAAGTGTTCTGAGTTATTCAGAAAATAAATTTGTATTGGAGGTTAAAATGTAGAGCATACGAACGGATGGTCGGAATTTCCAAATCGCGCATTTGACCGAATGGGAGGAAGGCGGGGAGTTAAATCACCCCATAACTCCGCCACTGTATATTTATATATTTATGTGCGTATACATAAAATTTTATATGTACATTCATCTGTAGTCATTCGCTTATTAAAAATCATATTAAGCGGTAGGAAATTTTTTCCCGTCAGTTAGAAAAGTTGTTACCATGACTATCATTGTTGCTGTTGTTATTGCAGACCAAAACATACAAGTTTTCCTGTAGGCGGTACATATACAAAATCATATATCCTGCAGGGCAACTTTATCAGCTAATTCAATTAATTTTCTGTTATTATTATTGAGGCGTAACTTTTAACAATTTTATTTAGCTGTGTATCACGATTTGCTGTTTCCATTTTTCACAACAAACACATTGTGGTACAAAGCCGAATAACATTATTAAAAAGAAAATGTTATTACGCCACAATAACAACAACAGAAATTAGTTTGGGATGAGCCTGCCTAAAACTGTACAATAATTGTAATTAATGGAATTACATAGAAACAACCACCCTGCCACCTTATGTTTATAGGTTGAGTAAGGACCCTCCAGTACTGCTGGAGTCAATCGCTACTTTTGAACCGCACCTGCACCGACTCTTAGGTAAGTAGCTACTCTATTAACCTGTGGTAGTGCACATGGTAGTGCAGAGTCGAACCAGTGGTAAGCAGAATAGCGAAAAACTGCGACAGAGGGCGCCCATAAATAACGTCAGTGACTACTTTGGTAACTCCCGGTAGTGCAGAGAGAGCTGATGGTGACTACCGCCTAGGACATTGCCTTGTAAAAGTAATCGATGAAATACACTGCAAGTAGTCGGTCGGTAATTGACGGTGTTTATCAGGTAGCTACCGATTCAGCAGTCCTGTAGTCACTCCCCCGTATTGCAGGGGAGAAGGTGTGTGCGCTTAGCTTAGTGGTTAGCGTTGCTCACTTTGCACATCGATGATGCGTGTTCGATTCCTGCTGAAGTCAAGAGAAAAAAGTTTTATGAAGAGATTTGGTGTTCTTAGGGTTGCCAACATTTTCTAGGGTATTTCTAGTACTTTTTTCAAAAAAAAAATCTGAAAAAATATATTACACTTGAAATGTTATGTATACATATTTTCTTTCTTATGCATTTTTTTTTTTGTATAAAAAATATATTTCTTTGCAGTTTTGGCAGTTTTTAAGAATTAAGAATAAGAATTTAAGCTCTCGGAAATACTTTACTACAAGCGTGGACAATTGCTGGCCTATTCCGGTGGCATCGACATCATTCGTAACAAAAAACGCGAAGTCTTGTCTGCCGTTTGCAGGTTGGAGGCGGAAACAAAGCGAATGGGGCTGGTCTTGTTGTCAAAAGATCATTAGAGAATTCTTTTTATTTAGGAAACAGCTCTAGCACTCTAACGCGGATAATAATATCAGCATAGAAATCGCAGAATAACCCTTTGCAAGACGTGCTAAATACTTCGGGTTGTGTAGGCAAGCTAAATAAGTTACTTAGTATGCTGTTGTTGTTTTTGGCTACCTACTTAAATTTTCGTATAATTTCCCGAAAGACGCTTATGCAAATTATTAATGATTCGAGCACACTTTATCATATGCAACTCAGTCGGGTTAAACCGGGGCACACCGCTACTAAAAATTCAATAGAACATTGCTCTGTCAAATGCAGATATCTGCTTCTGCTTATATAAATAAAAATCTGAATTCATTGAAATCAACTATCGAAATCCCCAATCGGTTTATGCCTATGCACGTGGCATTTTGTACATATGTATGTACATGCATAAGTGTCACTTCTGACCAACTTAGTGAAGCGACCGCAGTTGCGGTTAGAATTTAGCTAATTAACCCCAATAAAGTGCTTTACAAACACAATTTAACATACATATGTACATACTAAAAAGCAATATGTACATAGAAATAGTTATGTACCCAGGCAGCATAGAAAGTTACGTTTTGCGACAGTGTGATTTTTGTGCATTCTTAACGGAAAACGATATCAATTTTCCGTAATTTTGAGTATCAGCAAAACTTCCGAAAACCTCCCTGCTATTTAGTGTTATACAAAGAGGTCTTAACACAACGAAGGGATGGTGCGCCAAAGTGGGTTTTAACATTAACCCCTCCAAGACGACCAACGTCTCCTTTACCAAAAGCACAAATCATCCAGGCATGAGGAGCATGACTCTGCATTGGGTCGGAGTCAGTGTTTTCGCGGAGGTTAAGTATCTCGGTCTGATCCTAGATTCCAAAGTTCTGTGTGAATCTTAGGTTGATGCGCGACCATTTTCAAGGCTAAGAGGACACTGATGGTATGTAGCCCAAAGATTCTGAGATGGATTTACAGTATAATAGTATCGTAATTACCTGTGGCTTGGGCTTCGAGAAGTAGTTCAGTTACGGTCTCTCACAAAATTTCAAAGTCCGTTGACAGCACTTGAAGTATTTTTCGACCTTCAGCCACTACAGAGCAGGTAGTCAAGCATACTCTTCAGAATTTCGCTAGACATGGCTTCGGTAGAGGAAAAGAAATAAAGGAAAAGCCTACAGAAGTAAAGGAAAAGCGAGAATGCCGCCCCGCTCTATAGCTGTTTTCGAGACAAAATTCGAAATAGTATTCAAGGAAAAATCAAAGAGCGTATTGCGACGTTTTACAATCACAGTTGCAGATTTTCTATACATAGGTTTTGAATGCCCAATTTGGTGGCAAAATGTATCCGAAAAATGTCTAAATTTTGTTCTATTTTCATAAATGTAAGTTTACGAATATTTTGCTGAATGGGTGCATACCTATGCCTGTTTATACACTAGTGAATATGCGTAGGAGAAGTGCCTGTGGCAGCTGCAGTTGGTGGTAATATTATTTCGATGCAAACTATGCAAATGCTACTTAATGTCACGGTCACACATGTTTTCCACAAAAGTTAAACAACTTTACAACTTTTTTCATAATATTTATGTACATAAATACTACAGCCAACATTCGGTATGATTTTAATGCATTTTGCTTACCTGACGTGAAAGCACGTTGGCCACATCGTTTGATGCCTGAGAATCGGTTTCGACCTCCTGTAGGAATGTTTCCCATGCTTGGAAAATTGCCTGATGGCAGGCGGGTCTGAGGAAGAGAACAACAATTTTATTGAGCTTAATTAAACTAGAAATATAGGTACATATATTTAGTTACAGATCTTTACAAAAAAAAAAAATATTTACCCGCGGACTGGAATAGTTCATCCTTGCGTATTTTCGGTCGGAGGATCGGAATCCGAGATGTGAGTTTAAAAGTAGGTTTGTTTTGCTCTTCTATGGGCTATATAGTTGTCCTTTCAACACCAATTTTGTTTGGAAAAATGTATTTTGTAATTTTAGAACCTACTTGTGAAAACGGGACTCAATGAAATTGAGTGTAATTTTTCATCTTTTAGAGAATTTTATTCGATACCTCAAATTTAGTGCCTTCTGAAACATTTTTTTTTAATCCCTAATTGTTAGAACACCAGAAAGTACTGAAATTTCAATTTTTTTTTTTAATTGGTTTTGGAAAATATTCACTTCGCAATTGCTATAGCGACTGGAATGCAAAGTGCAACTGAAGTCTCTTGCTTCATATGACGAAACGCTGCTCCTTCAGCGTCGCCTTTAAATTAACTTAAACCGCTTTGACTTACACAATTCACTGGATTTATTATATTATTCACAATATACTGGATTTATTATTTAAAATTTCGTTGATTTGGTTTAATGGCTATATTTTATGTTGTTTTAACCCGAATTTTTATGCGTGGTTAAAATTTCGAATCGACAGTGAAGTTTTCAGTTTGGCATAAGTGTATCAGAAAATTATGTTTTTACGGTTAGAGAAGAAAAACGAACCAACTTTCAAATATTCATATTCACATATTCCGATATTGGGACGCAAAATATGTACGTTTGCGCTGTAACAGTTTTTATTTTTTTTTTATTTACATAAATCAACCCTCGATTATAAAAAATTCATATGTAGTATGTATATAAGTATGTGTTTACATTCTCACCTTTCTTTGCGAAGTTCTGCATTCTTTTTACGAAAATTGGAGACTAAAGTTTGTAGGGCAGTTGCATGTTCCTCGTATAAATGGGAAAGGGTTTCGGTAAAATCAGATACTGCAAATAAATAAAAACGAATGTGAATTAGAAGTTGGCTTAACTAAAAAAAAAACTAAAATTACAATAAAATCCTACTAATATTATAAAAAAATCAAAAACACGGAACAATCAATATGCTCACCATAGTATCGGCCGAATATAGTAAAACTGCAATTTTAGTTTTTCCTTCTGACATACAATATTTTTTAAAAGGACTTTGAAATTTGAAGGGTGCGATTAATTCAAAAGAGAGGGGAGAGATTTAAAAAAGTTTTATTTCAAAAATTTCTTTAAAGGGAGCTGCCACCTGCTTAGAAATTCAGAATAAATTTAAGTTAAATTAAATATTTTAATTTGGGCATCAAAAGAAAAAAGTTTTACGAAAGCAGTATCTATTTGTAAAATATTTTAGACGAGGGTTGACACCACATTAGGAATTTAATTGGCAGGTTAAATGAAATCCTACAAATTTTAGAATTGTGAAAATTTGTGAGTGAGTATGTTTTTTTGTCTTTGTTTGTATAAAATTTGACATACAGATAGCTTGTGACCTGCCACCGGCTTAAAAAGTTAATCCTAATTTAAACTTCATAGAAATTTTACAATATGAATGCCAAGGGTAGGATATTTAAGAAAGCTTTATCACGAAAAGATTTTTATTTAAAAAGTTAAACTTTATTTTATTAATAAGTTTAATGGTGTATTAAAATGTGGGTGGCAAGCAAATGACGTTTAAGGACGCTTTATATTGAGAATATTTTGAAAACGGGGTTTGCAACCCGTTTAAATATCAGATCCATTTTTTTCATCAATTAAATGGCGTACTACAATAAGGATGTCAATTGAAAGAGCTATAAGGAAGCTTTGTTACGAAAATATTTTTTCAAGAGGATTGCCACCTATTAAACTGTCAAATGTAATTTAATCAATACGTAAAACGAAGAAGTTAAGAGGGCTTTATTTTGAAAATATTTTTAAAAAGAGTTTACAGCAGTTTATGAGTCTAAAAGTCATTTTCTCAAGAGGGTTTTAAAATTTATCTGCCCTTTAAACCCAAATTTTGTTCTGAAGAGATATGTTTGAAGGGCAGATAAATGTCAAAATCAACTTGAGAAAACGTACTAAATAAATTTAATCAGTCACTTTATCTAAGAAAATATTATAATATAAATATCAAACGAAACAGGTTGGAAAAGGCTTTATTAAAAAAAAAGTTTGCTAAAAAAAAAACCAAATTTAAGTGAATCATTGCAAAATGATATATCTTTCGTATTTAAGGAAAATATAAATAACATACATATACCTACCAATGAGATATTGAAAATTTGTTTCTTTTTTAATCAGACACATTTTTAAAGGAACTGCACCCTATAGAATAATTAAAAAACTGTATGTCATATAAATAAAAAACATAAAAAAGTTAAAAAGAAATATGCATTTTATGATCTTTATCCCCAGTTTCATCAATCTATTTTAAAACTTATCAGACTGTTAAAATTTAAAATTGCAAATTTTCCGAAAAAAGTTGCGTCATTTTCAAATTTAACAGGCTGATAAATTTAAAATTGATGGATGCAAGCGGGCAATAGTTCTTTATATTTTTTAAAACACATTAACAAAATGTTAAATACAAATTTCAACGAGAAATTTAACGGTTGTGCCACCTCAAACATAATGACATGGCATGACAACTAATGCCAACGTCGCGATGCATCGGTAGGCATGTCAAATATTGTATTTGTAGAAAACGAAAGCCCAAAAGCGTGTATGATATTGTGTGCAAATAAATAGATTTGTGGTAAGAAGATGCGCTTTTTGTTTTCGCGCGCCAGCTAGCCATGGTGTGATATGTATGTATATAAATATGCCTAACAACCGTAGCACGTGTAAACAAACTTTGCTCTGTCGTGCCCTAAGTGAGTTTTGGGAGGCTATTAAAAGTTTGAAATTAAATTTGATCAACTATGCGCTGAAGTGAAATCACCTGAAGGCTGGCGACGCAATGACGCGCTTTTGCTAACTAACTGAGCGATATATTTGATTAAATTGAACTCAAATGAAATTGAATGTCAACGTTGAAAACATCATAAATTCGGCTAATTATAACCTAACGCCTTTCAAAGAGTTTATGAAAATTATTGATAAAGTTTGTTTCAATTAACTTCTCCTAAAACTGATACCAATCTAATTAAGTTTCTAATAAAATTACAATATAAGCTTATTCCAAACGTCGGGATATAATATCAAGCTTTGTATTTAGTAAAAAGTTTTTATGTGAAAAATTAAAGAACTAAATAATTGTAAAATTAATATCAAATATATCATTTTCATATTTAAATTATTTCTCATGTAGTTAAAGCGCAACGCATATTTAATTTCGGATTATTTGGAATTATCAGAGATTGTATTGAATATCAAAATTAAAATTAAATGAAATAAATTTAATAACTATAAATGTGTAATAGAATATTAAGAATAAGAAAAATTTGGTTTTTGCTTTTCATTTATTGGGGTATTTTAATATGAGCCTTTGGCGAAGGTCGCCGGCGAACAAATTATTCACCCGAACGAGTTGGAAACGACGTCGCTACGAAATCGTTTGGCAAATTGGGATGTTAGTAAATATAATAAATTCCCTCAATAGTACTACTTTGTGCTCTTTGTGTTTATCAAGTAAAACTATATACTCGAGCATACATATGCACATACTATGTATGTATGTTTGTATTTCACTATTTCTAATTTTCTATCGTGCAAATCCCTAGGCTATATTCTAACGTATACGGTATAAAGACACAACAATTGCAGAGCAATGCTAACTAAATTGAATTACATTTGATTTTGATGTGGTTTTAGTCGATTGTGCTCAACGCTTAAGTGAATGGGCGAATAAGCGGCGGAAAAACAACGAAGAAACAACGAAATTGCCATGTTAAATGTTGAATGTTGACATTAAAAGCGTAAATATTTATTTATCTCATCGGCTTTTATGTGGCTGCATTAAAGTGTTATTTAAATTGTGCAATGCTGAGCATTGGAAATGTTGCAAAAACGATACACAAATTAAATTTGAGCTTATCGATTTAGCTGTTTGAGCTGTGGCTATTTATTGAATTTGAGTTTTACGATAGTTATTGTCTTAATTTCATAACTATGCTTCGATTTCGAAGAAAGTTTTTTTTTGTTTTTATTTAAATATTTGTCTGTTGACCGTATTAAATTTAAAAATATGTACAATAATTCATTATAAAAAAAATAAAAATTACTTCAATGAAGGAGAATCATTTTGCGGAACAAGTGAATAGGGGCTTAACTATTTAAAGTTACTAATAATATTCATATACAAAATTCTAACGATTAGATTATACATAGTCTCCACAATACACAAATATGAAAATCTGTTTTTTTTTTTTGTTCTTTTTTAAACGAGTGACTACAGTACAATATCAGGAGGAACAAGAATTGAGAGAAAATTAAAAAAATTACCACCAAAATTTAAATCATACAAAAAATTAAATACATAAAAAATCATCGGTCTGAGCTTACGCTAACTAAGTAGTAGCCACCATTACGCCACATGAGACTAAATTCTGGCTTAATTTCAACACTAATGGCGTTTTCTTTCCTCGCAAAAATGTCACCTTCTTATATGGTAACATTATCAGAGTGCAATATGCATGTGAAGATGTTGAGAAGAGAACACGAAACTTGACAGCCCTGGCACAGGGCAGAATAAATGCAACATTATTTCGAGAAAAGAAAACGCTATAAGACTGAGCTTCCACTTTGTCGATTCTTTACTGATGGCGGCAAAACTGACATTGGGTCAGGATCTTATGTGCCTAACAAAGGTGATGAGGATGAGCTTCACTTTTTTTCTTAGAGAATATGCATCGATCCTCCAGGCCAAAGTATTTGAAACTCTAAATGGTGGAAAATTAGTGGAGATGCAGCAGTTAACGTGTCTGTGGTGACATTCAAGCTGCACTCAAGGCATTTGTCAGACCTCTAACTAGTTTCAAACTAATTCGAAATAAGTCTCGACTAAATCATTTTGGAAAACATAAAAAACTTCGTCAATGTTAAATGTTATTAAAATTAAATTTTTATATTTTTTATTGAGCTTTGTATCACGATTGTTTATTAGGAAAAATTGAAAAAGCGACAAAGTCTAAGCGATAGAATTTATAGCTGCTATTTCGTAGATCACCACATCTCTTCATCTGACTTCTTTTTTCCAGACTTCAGCAGACCAGGCATTCCAGGCTACGCACCATTTTTATCACTTCCACCTTCAGCCATCGCAGCCGAATAATCATACAAATTTGCCTATTAAATATATTTTCTTTACATACAATCAAGTGAAAATAATCCCATCAAAATCAATGATCTTAATTTTGTCTATTGCCTTTTTTCCCTGATTATGTCTATTAATTAAATATTTCTCCCAAATTTTTAAATACATACATTCATTTTTTTATATTTTGGTAATTTGTGAAGCTTTTGTGTACTTTTCCAAGGAGCTTAGAGTTAAATTCCCCACTTGGTGTCTACTTACTTAAACTTCAATATTGAATACAAATCGTACCTCTACAGCAAGAGTGTCATATTCCAAAAAATAAATTTTTCGGGTTAAATATGTAGAAATGATCGCCATCTCCCATTCTATGGTATGTATTTCTCCGATTCTATGGTATGTATTTATTTCACAGCTTTACCGAATTAAAATAGCACACAAGAAGAAAATGTGTCTTCACTATAACTATGAGAGCGTATGTAAATTGTAAACTGTAAAGCCGTTTTTCTCGAGTATTTGATTTTATGGATTATGAAACGCTTGCTGCAAAGGTACGATATGCAATGCCCAAATATCTGCCAAAATCACATTCAATTTTTTTTTTGCATTTATAACAAATTGTAAGTTTATGTACACACATATATGTATATGTTTGTGTATTTCTCTGTAATCAAATCTAAAGCAGGATTTCCAACACATTTATGGGCGAGTAATTGACACT